CTATCCTTGCACACAGCAACGTGATTCGGTCGCTCATCAAGTGTCACCCTGGACTTCATTCGTCAGGTCAACCTTCGTTGGCCTGACAAGACCGACGAAGACAGCAGAACCGACGGAATAAAATGTTATGTCATCGGGAATTTATTCCGTTGCGACGTAGTAAATGAATGAGTAGGGGTTAAATTAGGAAACGGATTATAGAACGGAAACTCGCTCCAGTCCGCGTAAAGCAGGAGCCCCTGAAAATAAATCAATCCAATGACAGTCAAACTGAGCGCCAGACCATTTGATCACCAGAAAAAAATATCAGCGTCACGCAATTGACCGACTCTGCAAAATAGTTTGCATTTCATGATAAGAAAGTAGTAGTGAATTTTCTCGAAATTAGAGCGTGTCAATTGTTCAATTTCCTAGCTGGGGTCACAAAAGCAACTTCGACTTTTCCAGCTACAGAAACAGGGATTCATTTCTACAAAGAAAATATTGTTGACTCAAAATTTTTTTCCCAAATGACGTCGAATTTCATACAGGACAAAGAATTCAAATTCGCCTGCTCACTTGAGCGCCAAACAATTATCGGGCGATTTTCTGCATATGATGAAAATGGTTTGTCTGCAGTACATCAAAAATGGGATTCAATCTGAATAAATGGGATCATTTCACGAATGAAACTTATATTAAGTCCAAAAACAGTTTCTATGTTTGCAGCAGCACAAGCGCTTCGATGCAAAAAAAAAAGCAATTGTTTTCGAACAGTTTGCCAATGCAGTAATTCCCAATTTTAGCCACAGAGAAGAATTGTCTCAACGAAACGCGTCTGAAAAACTTTGCGCATATATATACAGTATATACGAATAATTCCAATTTTTATATTCAATCGACTACTATACTAGCTGTATAAAATGATCTCTCTTGAAGCTGGCGCTCAGTTGGTTGAAGCTGTCTATTTCCCAGCGCTCAGTTGGGATTGGCGCTCACTTGACCCCGCACCCAATCAGTCCGCTTCAATGAGCATCCTTCGATTTACGACTGTGTCAAGGTAGACGACTTTTGACCCCAGGATCGCGGAAACGCCAACAAGGACCACGTGCCTCGGCACAATCGAAAGCATTGCCGGTGATATAATGACTTTTTTCGGGGGCTCTTAATTGCTGGTTTCGGAAGCAATAGGTGATGATGAGTTCCCGAATGAAAAACATGTATTATTATATGCGCTGGAAATAAACTGGAATCACGAATGCAGTCTTACTACGATGAGCTTCGTTCCTTTTGGGGAAGATTTGAATCATTATACGTAAGGTATATTTTCAACCATTGCTGTGATTCTTTTGCAGCTATGGACAATGAAAAATTCGCACAAACGATTCCGTTTAGAATGGCGCTAACTGATCCAGGTTCGTCTCAGCGGAACTTTCATTTTGTAGCAAAAATTCAGGGAATACTGTACCATAGAAAGATCTCACTTCTGGCAGTGGTCTAAGCAGCATAAAAAATGTACGGATATACAACGCATAATTTTTTCACGAAGACATGGAATTTATGCAAAATAATCAGGGGGATCAGAGGATTTATAATTTCCGTTAGGGACAATACTACGCAGGAAATTCAGGTCACGGAATAAAAAACCATCAGTAAATCTTCTCGACCAGTTCTTTTTAAAATTTGCAAGATCAGTTTTACTTCACTATCAAGGCCTTCACATTTTTTATTCTATGCCTGCAAATTTTCAAACTTAACTCTTGCAGACTTTCCACTTGCATTTTCTAAATAAAATGTCATTTACTTGCCCGGAATCTTTGACTCAATGAAGGTTTTCTCAACGGTGGTTTTTTTTTGAGGATCAACTGTCATGTCATCTAGATTTAGGCTTTACAGAAGCATTGCTCATTAATATAAATTACTGTAAACCCCTCTTCTCAAGAAAAATATCCTGACACCCTTATTTTTAAGGTAGGAAGTCTTTATCTGAAAACTTCAGTACTTGTTTTTGCGCAATAAATGGGGGTGATGGTTTCAAAAGATAACTTGGAATTAAAATATGCCGCATGTTTTTTGTCCTAAAAAATAAATATAAATTAACTGCATTGCAATTCTGAACCAGCACATTTCAATTTTACAAATATTTCATTGGAAATGTGAAAGCGTGAGTTCAATAAAATGTGACTCAATAAAAATAACTCAGGCAAAAGATTGTTCAATTGGATTCACTTGAGGTAAAAAAAAACTCTAAATATGCTTTAAAACGTGTAGGAATAAAAGCTTGAAGTAAAGCCAAATAATTTGAATTTGAATCATTTTGGAAGTAAAATATGCTTTCACAAAATTATTGTACAGTTTTATTCGAGAAGGAAGAAAATCTGGAGCAAGCTGTACACCTTGCAAGTACTTATTTAGGATAATTAAGTTAACAGGAATTAATTTAGTACTTATAAGTCAGCAATTAGAAGATGATTCTCTGAAGACAAGTAAAAAATGAGGAAAATGAATTCAACACAGCAATTGGCTGGTGTGCGAACCGACCAGGGATTCTCTCCCAAAAAAGTGCAAGCCCTTTGTTATACAGATCAGCAAACAAGATCACAAGGTACAGAAATATTCACAACAGTTTTCCAGACCGCAAATATGCACAACAAGTTTTTGCATATTTTTGGTAAATTAGCAAGTACGAATTTCACAACGTAACAAACGCTTTGATGGCAAGAATTTGACTGTGTTGTCAGCCCTGGAATCTGGGGTTTTTAAGCTCTAAAAATGACAGGGAGGGTTGGGTAATATCTTCAGGGAACCCCAGAAATTGGGTAATGAAAAATACCTGGTGCTGGTGTTTTTCAGTTTGTATTTTGAACTAGTAATGATTTTTCAAAAGACCTGGTGGTTTTTACAATTTGCTGAATTTTACAAGGCTGAATGTGTTTTTCCTGGAGACCGGGTGTTTTGAGGGTTTGTAAAAATATTATGGAGAGGAAAACAAGCTTGTAGAAGTAATTCGGTTTTTACTGGTACTTTTAGTGATTCTTTGACAGTTCAGAGAAGGTCTAGTCTTTTGAAGATAAATTGTTTTAGGGAAGAAGATACATTGTTTTGGAATGCGTCGCCAGCAGCTGGTTGGGTTTCTGTAAATTTTGGAGGGGTTAAATGACCCCGGTTTTTTGCGGAAGGGAGGATTTGATGTCCCCTGCTGATAGAGAAAAGATGTTGTCTTTGATGACTCTTTGTCCCGGTTCCAGGGGTCATTCTCCTTTTCTTGGGTGGGGGTTAAGATATTGTTGGTGCTGTCAGCGCGCCAACTTTGTCAAGTTAATTGATCCTGCCTGTTTCCCCGCCAAGGGGATTAATTTACAGTCCCGGGCGCGTCCTGAGACGCGCCAATTTTTGAAAACTTGATCTATTTGTCCCTTCTCAGGGAATTTGACTTGGCCGCTGGTGTCGAAAGAAAAAATTCCGCACAATTATGACAGAATTGATGGTTTTGAAGAATTTCCAGGTAATTTACTTAGGAATTCAGTGCTTTTCTCAAGATGAATAGTGTACTCTCAAGATGAACTAGTGTCTTCTTAAGTTGATCAAAACTGCACAGAAATTTACTTGACCCCGCATATGCAATTTCAATTGATGAAAATCTTCAAAGCCTGTCGATTTCTATTGATTATTTATCGAAGAAAGCTTTTTATCGGTTAGTTATCTTGGACAGAGACCAAGGCTCTTAATTGCTTTACTTTCCAGGATCAGCTAATTAAGAAAATATCGCGCTCAGAAAAATAATAGTTCCTTGAGTGAGGAAAAAAATCGGACATGAAAATTGAATGGGACTTCCAGTTTAGTCGCCCTCCAAGAATACTGACTGGCATTGACTGGACAAGAAAAATTTCAGAGACGCATTCTTCGTCAAAGCGGTTCCATCACGAAGAAAAAATGATTTTTTGAATTCAATTTAATTTTCAACAGAGGTCAATCAACAGTTTGAACACACGGAATTGAAAATAAGCAACTTACTTGGTTCACTAATTCAGACAGGCAAACATGACTAACATCTGTACTTCTCGGAATGTTGACTTTAAAATGTCGTTCTCGCGTCGTTGAAATTCCCGCATATCATTGACGACCCCGGATTAAAGTTAAAAACTCAATTAGTCTGCAATGAGGCAGACGATGATATCGAGTGCATGTAAGCATAAATAAATTCGTCAAATTTTGAAAAATGGAATATTTTCTCCTCTTCTCTTATAATCCCGCAACCCCCTGATTTCGATTGAAATTCCGAAGAATCAATGACGAGCATGTATTACAAGTAAAAAATTGCACAAAATTGCATTTCTGCTCAATGTCGCAGATGATGATGTCACGTGAAATGACGAATCAAGTCGAAGGATGTTTGAAAATGTCATCAAAAATTATTGCTGAACAACTAAAAAACTGAAATATAGCTCAGTAAAGGTATCCAACATCTTTTTTCTTTAGAAATATCGGAATTCAGAAATTTTCTTTTCTATTAAAGTATATTCCCGCATGCAGTCTCGGTGGATTTTGATTGAAATTCTCATAATTCGACGAATCAATAAGGCAGATGATGACTTTCCAAATTTTCAAAAATTGTTTCCAAGTCAGGAACGTGGCAGTTGTGTTGTGAAATGTTTGCTTCCTGCCCTCATCACGCGGCCCTTGAGCTGATTACAGGCTGCTCATATATATCTATATATACACGTGATACAATTTCATTCAGCAAGACAAAAAATATGCTCGATTTTTAGAAACCCAAACGAACTCGATGTCCTCGATGCCGGAAATTCACGGAAAATATTCCCTTTTTTTCCTTGCTCGTCATCAAGAAGCCACATATGTTGTCCAACCTCGCGTACTTTGACTGTGTCCGTATTCGGACATTAGTTTCCGGCAAAGGACACCGGGGTGAGTTCCGACGACGACGAGAGACGAGTCTTCTCGTCGTCGTCGGTCGTCGTCAGCTATATAAACCCGACTCTCACCACCAATCAATGGACTCAGTCAGCAATCGTCAATCGTTCCACATCCATCAGTTAATCCGTGTGCATTTTTTTCTTTCCTCGAACGGTTCAATCAAATAAAATATTAGCATCATGATGAAAATCACGGTGAGTAACTCAGAGGAGTTTATTCAGCGGTCCAAACCTCGACTGAAGAATCTTTTCTTTTTTTGGTGTGTGCTGTTCATTTTTTCCCGTCAAGATTTTGGCACTGGCCGTGTGCTGCGCGGCTGTTGTATCCGCCGATTCCGGCGAGCAAAAATCCAGCCACCGGGGTTACCACTCGAGACCATCCCCAAAGGTGTACCACAGCAAGGCTGACAGTGACAGCTACGAGGTAATATATTTTGCAGTAGTTCTGAATCTTTTGACTGAAATAGTGAATTATAGAGACTATCCCTGGAGATTTTCGAGCATTAGCGAGCTCAAAAGCCGCCGATGAAGAATTGTTTTTACATTTCCTGGATTTGCGAATACTTTTTGACGCCTGACCGCATCAGCGAACTCATAATTATTTTTGAAATTGTCGATACGCTATGTGCGATTATGATTCCATTACAATAGAACGTACTGTACCGTATTTATAAAATCTTCGCCCTCCAGAAATTCCAATTATTCGCAAAAGGTTTTCGGGGAGAAAACGGGGCTCATTGCCAACTTGCCATTAGTTTAAAAAATATATTTAAATCATGTAAAGCTTATTAAGTATTTTTTCAAGGGTGGAAATAGAGAACGGCCGAACTTTTGAGCATAATGATGTCTATTCCTAGATGCAGGGACATCAGGTTCTCTTGAATATGAATTAGTGGAATCCTTTCCAAGTTGAATTTTATGGTTCTTTCTGAATTCAAACACTCATCAACGAATTTTTGATAAAAATCTAAGAGCATGAGCATGATGCTAGTTCAATTGATGCCTATAGGTTTGAACTTTCTGCACTGAGTACGTATACAAGGATGAAAAAAAGCACAAAAACGGAAAGAAACATTTGAAAGTATCTTTCAAGGGACAGCCAAAGAGCCAAAAATTCAAGAGTCAAAAACAGACACAAATATTTCCGATAGAGAGTGACACAAGAGCAAAGTTTGTTGAGTTCCGAAATCAGTTTTTTTCCCTTAAAAAAATTCTAGAAGCTAGCACATTTCTAAACCTGAGATAAAGTCTACAATGTGTTAACACGAAGAAGACATTATTGCCACTTCGATCGAAGGGCTCATTTCGTGATAAACACTGAATGAAAAGATCCATCTCAGTTGAATTTCATCAAACCGAATGTATATTCAACAAATTATTCCAAACCCGTTTCTTGGTTTATTCGTTCTCGATTTTGCCCAACGCCGTTTCTTCGTTTTGTCAGTTTATTTTTTGGAAGGAATTCAAATAAATCCATGCAAAAATGAACTCAAGGTTTCAAGCATTTTCGTTAAAATAGCTGGTTCACGCAACTCGTCTGTAAATGACCCAAGGAATTCATTTTAATCGAAGTTTACTGTAGATGCTTCCTATAGAAATTGAGCTCGGCGAAATCACCAACTTATTGCTGAAAGGTACTTGAACGCAATTCTGGATACATTTATCTGGATATTATTTATTTAGGTAAACCAAAATCCCAAATTTCCACACATACTGGAAAAATAGAATTTCCCCTTTTTCTCTCAATCGGCATTAAAATTAGGATGCCTTCGTTATTCAAATGCGATGGCTCCTTATTTCTTCGTATAGTTGAGCGAGTTCATCCGACCGAAAACAAGTTCATCGATACAAAGCGAGACTGAAATTTAACTGAATTCATCCATACCATAATTTAAAGGAAAGAATTCAAGAGAGTATATCTCTGTTCTAAATGGGCATTGATGAGTAGAAGATGAGTTTAATCAAGATAATATACGTAAATTGATTCGCTTTGCAATAAAATTCGCATGCATTTTCGTTCTCACAAAAAAGAATTTAAACTTCAATCGGGTGTCACGTTGAATGGATGTGCTATTTGAATGAAATTTTTGTTTATTTGTCTTCCTTTTTTTTGCATATAGAACGATGCCCCCAAGTACCAATTCGCGTACCAAGTGAAGGCCAGCGCCCCAGTCAAGAAATACGGCGGCAGCGGCAGCGACAGCGACGAATACGGAAAACGCACCGAGACCAGCCACGAATCCGCGGAATTCGGCCACGCCGAGACCCGAGACGGCGACAGCACCAAGGGCAAATACTTTGTTGAGTTGCCCGACGGCCGCCTCCAGACCGTCGAGTACTACGTCAACGGCGACTCGGGCTACGTCGCAAAGGTCTCCTACTCCGGCGGCGACTCGTCATCCGCATCCGCCGAAAAGACCTACAAGAAATACTAAGCGATCGACTCGTCGAAAGAATCTCCCGGCCAAAGACCGACGAAAACAAAAGAAAACAAAAAACACCCCACAAGATCCAAATCAGTAATTTATTTATGAAAATTTCCCACCCTCAATTCAGGGTAATTTATTGGACGACATCTCGCGCGCGTCCGTTTTTTTTTTTTTTTGGCAACGAAACTTATTGGAAGAGTATTCTGCATATTTTCTTACATTTTTATTTCCTGTCCCCAGTCGGTTCATGTGTCTTGTCTGTGGATTCCTATACTTTCATGAAGTGCAATGTTTTTATTTTATGTCGATTTCCCTTTTGTTTCTGCTGCTGTGTTCCTGGATTTCGAAAATGTGTTCGTGCTTCTAGAAGCCATTTGTTGAAGCTTATGCTTGTGCATCTTCTGGTCTTTATGAATTGTGTGTGCTTCTCTGGTGGTTCAATAGAAGAGCTTCTTTTCTGATCAGTTCAACATGAGCATTGAGCACTTCATTCATTCATTCATTATATTGAATCGTTCGAGCATTAATCACATCTTTAAAAAAAATCAACCGTGATTTTGCGTGAGGCTGATACGTATGATCATCTTTGAAAAGCTCTCGACAAACATAAATCAATTGCAGAAAAATATTTCTAAGCGGTTTTAGAAAATACTGTAATATTATGTATGAGTTTATTTAAAGTCACGTTCTTTTAAAAAAAAAAATTTTTCTTGAACACAATATTCAAGCGTAAAAATTAGCCTCATTCAAATAGTTTTACAAATTTAATATCGGATCCCAGCCCGATTTTTGCTGAGGCTTATAACCTTAACAGTTTAAAGCATAGTGGCCAATAATATACATATTTCTGCGAAATTTAAGCTTTATTGCTGAGTGACGAAGGAAAGGTGCTGTCACGATAAGGTTAAGCGGAAGTAAAATCAGCATAAATACTCGTATCATAGAGCCCAAGTCCTGCGCTCGGAATTTTCCCCGGTAGATGTCGCGAGATGAACCATTTCCGCGTTCTCTTGCGCACGTCCTCAGAACCCAGAAGGACTTAATACCACGGCTGCTACAACGAATGTAAGAATTCCACCGGATTACTGGTCGTCAAAAATACTTCCGATATCTTTGCCGAGCAAGGGCAATTGCTGAATGAACACTATATTGTTGGCTCTTACTATACTGACCGACCGACGACCTCGTTAGCGTTAATATCTTCCGCTGGAACTCCGTGGGCCAAGTGACATAATCGGGCCACAAGGTCTTCCCCTATACTCAAAAACTACTTCCGACGTCGCAGTGACGATGAGCGACGGAAGCATAAATCGTTGATGACAACGAGAAATCATGTCGTTCGACCATAATTTTAAAAGCGTTGGTACAAGGTCTTTCGAATCGAATGATCGCGAATAAAGCAATGAGCTCATTCCATTCGCGAGTATCCGTTATAGTGATGTCTTACCTCAATTTATTGTTGAAGTAAGGATCTATAACTGTTTCAATACTGACCTTCTGATTTTATACGCTTCCCGAAAAAAATAGGGATGTCGAAGAGAATTGATGGCATGATTTCATGTGGAATTCAGATTTATATTTTGTAATTGTATAAATTTGAAACATACTTAATCCACGTCGCTCATGTGGCAGTTCTTGTCAAAATGCAAAAAAATAAGGAGGATGTATAACATGAAAGGTTTAATGCGTGATCTTTGAGAAGAAATATATCTTTAACTTTTGTGCGAATTATGGGATGACCCCATTAGATTTGTCTTTTCTTTCAGTCGAGGTCAGTCAAATTTTTCCAAGGTGTTGGTGATATTCAACATAATATTTCTTCACATAAACTTGTTTCCTGATCATGATGTAGACCTGCCAGATGTGCATACGAAGAACGGGAGAGATGAGTTTCCTTCAAACCAGTTCTACGATGAGAAGTTCACTATATTTATTGATAATGTATAATAATGACGTCAGCTGACGACGAAAGAAATGCATTAATGAAGGTAATTTACAATTGTTGAAGTAAGGATCTATAACTGTTTCAATACTGACCTTCTGATTTTATACGCTTCCCGAAAAAAATAGGGATGTCGAAGAGAATTGATGGCATGATTTCATGTGGAATTCAGATTTATATTTTTTAATTGTATAAATTTGAAACATACTTAATCCACGTCGCTCATGTGGCAGTTCTTGTCAAAATGCAAAAAAATAAGGAGGATATATAACATGGAAGGTTTAATGCGTGATCCTTGAGAAGAAATATTTCTTTAATTTTCGTGCGAATCGGGGGATGACCTCATTAGATTTCTCTTTTCTTTCCGTCAAGGTCAGTCAAAATTTTCCAATGGTGTGGGTGATATTCAACATGATATTTCTTCACATAAACTTGTTTCCTGATCATGATGTAGACCTGCCAGATGTGCATTCGAAGAACGGGAGAGATGAGTTTCCTTCAAACCAGTTCTACGATGAGAAGTTCACTATATTTATTGATAATGTATAATAATGACGTCAGCTGACGACGAAAGAAATGCATTAATGAAGGTAATTTACCGTGAAAATATTATATATTAGTGGTTTGTATTTACAAACGCATTATTAAAATACTCAGTCATTATTATTTCAGACGATTAACTTATGTTACGATTACGCATTAATACAAAAATTAATTGACTGAGGGGAAGAATTATTTCACGCCAACTGCGTTCGGAGTTCTTCATACTGTATTCCGCAAACTCTAAGCTGCCAATAAAGTAAACTAAAACAATTGAATGGATACTCTTATCTAGCTATTTCGAAAATGAAAGAAAAAAATCGTCGTCAAAAATGAGCTGACTGAACTTGATTTATTCATCCGTTTGCAACAAACAAATTTAAAATTTTTTGTTAAGAAAGATATATATTGATAATGCATACTGCTAATAATCAGATTCAAAAGGCTGTGATTCTTCACGTTACAAGATCACTAAAATTTTAAATGGCAAACAATGATGAAAAATACGCCTCTGTATGATTATATTTTTGCATGACCATCATGCTGTGAGGCAGCACATTTTTATATCTTCTATCTTTTAAATTTTTGAAAACATTGCGACGTATACAATTTTTTTTAACGATCAAAAGATGGCCACGGGGTACCCTTTAAAGTTCAGATGAACATATATTCATATACTGTATAATATTTCGACGGCGTCAATATACAGAGCTTAAAAGTTAAGCAAATGAACTGTTCATCATTTTTCTTCGACAAAATCTGGTTTTTGCTCTGGCGGTATTTCCGAATGAATCACCGCGTACAATTCTAAATTGTCATAAATCTTCGAAAGGTTAACCGCCTTTTGATTGCAGTCGTTTTTGACACGTCCAATGAAAAAATAGCGATAAGATTGATTATAAAACGTGTCGCAAGTTCCAGATATGAAGTAGACTCAATTTCGCAGAAATCTCACGGGCCGTAACAATCCGAAAAGACGATATAAATTCCAAACGATCCATACAGCAGTTAACCATCTAGCAGAATTGTAGACTTTCCGTGGCAACCGTCAAAGCAATTAAAAGTCGGTCAAGGAATCTGGTTTTCGAGAGGCGAAATGATCCGAGTCCTTGCATATATGCTGTAATACACAACCTCGACACGTCGGGTTCCATCTCAGCTTCCTTCGGCCTCAAATATTTGTCCCAGAAAGATCCGTGATTAATATCAACACGGCCTGAAGTCATTAAAGATTGCATCCGTTTTTTGTTGTAAAATTAATTTTCAAGACGATTCTGGTCCAATTTTTATTTCAAAGCCGACACTTGTCGAAGGCTAAATAAAATGTTCTCACTTTGAAACGCTGCTGCTGCAAACAATAAGGGATTCAATTCGAGTGATGTTGTATATACGTACTGTATTTCTCAAACTTTATTAAGAATTGAGGAACCTTCTGTTCTCCAATTTTGTAAATGAATGAATCTTATCGGAGAGATTCAACGAAGAGATGACCAAGCGTTTTGACGATCTATAATGAGTAAATAAATAAGATTTTTATTAATTACTGAAGACCTTCTCCGTCGCGTAATTTTCTCATTCAGGGGCACCTCATCTGCGATCCCTAAAAAAATCTCAAAATCAGTCCACTTGAAGTTTTAAAAATGAAATCACGCCTTTTTCGTATAAAAGCTTCTATGAGTTGAGAGCTTGAGACTCGTACAGAGACACTCGTCGAGTTTTTTCATGTAAATGTCGTGGAATCTAGAGTTTTCAAAAGTTGTGTTCATGAAAAATGAATAAAATTCCGACTAATTCTACGGTGATGGAAATCGACAGAAAGGGCTGAAATTCGAAGACAAGTCTTCAGAACGAGTAAATGCGTCGTTTTCAGTGATGTTCATCCACAGCAGTAGTGAGTTATTTGTGCTATGGTTTCGCCGACCCTGGATCGGAAATGACCCTGGTTCTGATCCGAAAATATCTCCAGCAAAGAACAGAGGACTTTGCCTCATTTGGAGGTGCACGGGCAATTATTCACCCCCGCAAAGTTGCCATCGTCAGAGGATTGGTTCCGGATTCCAAATCACGTCACTTGCACCAAATATTCCTCTATTCAAGCATGTTCACCAAGACAATCGTGAGTTTTGAAAATGAGTGATCGATTCAATTTTTCATTTCATCCTATAGGTCTTCATTTTTTTAAAGTGACGATAAATTGTCATCAGGAATATGAGAGTTTTGTGCGCAGAGGCCGGAAGTTCGACTTTCTCGGAAGTAAAATCTTCCGCGCGCTGTCAAAACGTTTTTCTATGCAAGTCTTCCGTAATTCAGATTGACATTTTCGGGGAATAGAAATATTCATTGAAAAGAAACCACTTGGAGAATAAAGATTGGAAATTGAGTAACAACTTGAACCTAATTTTAGCGCAAAAATGTGGCCTCTGTTTTGCAAAAAAATATATCGAAACGACCTATAGTTAAACCTACAGATGACAGTGAACATTTTCTGAGAAATCTTGATCATTTGAAGGAGATTAAGAGCCTCTTGGAAGGGATCTAAAATCTTGGGTTATAAGACGAATCAGTAAAACTTCGTAAAAACGTCAATAAACCGAGGAACTTCGCCTTTTTTAATAATATCACCAAAGTTCTAAAGAAAGCGTCTCCATGGGTCACCAATAAATACTGTAAGCTGTAAAAAACCAAACTTAAAGAGATCGT